GTCCCTCATAAACTGAATAACCCCAAGTTCAACGACCCCCACGTCAAGACCAACCTGCTGCTGCAGGCTCACCTGTCCCGCATGCAGCTGAGCGCTGAGCTGCAGTCCGACACGGAGGAGATCCTCAGCAAGGTGTGGGGGGAGTCGGTGCCCACAGTGCTTGAGGTGGGGTGGGCGCTCAGTGGGGCTCTTTCAGAGCTTAGAACTGAGTGGAGTGGTTGGGCCCATAACTACCTGCCTTCCTGGGGGGAGGGGCGGAGCTTCCTCTCCTGGGGGCGAGGCTGGCATGTGCGGAAGGGCCGGGGGCTGAGCTAGCTGATGTCTGTGTCCCTATACTGCACTCCTCGCCATTCCCCGGCATGACGGCTCTCTCCCCGTCCAGGCAATTCGCCTGATCCAGGCCTGCGTGGATGTTCTGTCCAGCAATGGCTGGCTCAGCCCAGCCCTGGCGGCCATGGAGCTGGCCCAGATGGTTACCCAGGCCATGTGGTCGAAGGACTCATACCTGAAGCAGCTGCCTCACTTCACTTCGGAGCACATCAAGCGCTGCACGGACAAGGTGAGAGCAGGGGAGGGGGACTGGGGAGTTCTGGGTGGGGGCAGCCCAGAGCCTGGCTAGATGCAGACGTCAGCCCTTGTTTTTGTGAAATGGGTTGAACGTTTTTTGCTGCATCAGCTGCGTTTCAGTCGGTACGTGGGTAACCTCTTCCCCTGTTGCTCCAGCCCTGGCCTTTTAGGGTGGAGAGCGCCAGGCTCTTGGCGCTGGTGCCAAAGGCTGCAGTTGAAGCCTGGTGCTGGCGCCCTGCCCGGTGTAGGGAGCTGGCGCAGGCTGTGTTCCTGGCACTGCAGACAGCACAGGGCATGTTCTAAAGCCCCGAGGGTTTGCTCAATGCCTGCACTGTGTGTGCTTCGTTGCAGGGGGTGGAGAGCGTCTTCGACATCATGGAGATGGAGGACGAGGACCGCAATGGCCTGCTGCAGCTCTCTGACGCCCAGATCGCTGACGTGGCCCGTTTCTGCAACCGATACCCTAACATCGAGCTCTCCTACGAGGTGGTGGAGAAGGAGAGTATCCGCAGGTGAGCTGGGAGCTGCCTGCAGCGAGTGCCAGGGAAGGGATAGGCAGAGCCATTGGCATCCCTGGGTGCCGAATCCAGGCGCTGGGGAGGCAACGGAACCTTGCTTACCTCTTGTTTCTGTCTGCAGCGGAGGGCCGGTGGTGGTGCTGGTGCAGCTGGAGCGAGAGGAGGAGGTCACGGGACCTGTCATTGCTCCCCTCTTCCCCCAGGTATGTTTGCAGAGGGAACTGCTGCCTTCGTGGCTGTGACTGGCTGAGCCACCCGACAGCTAGGATGGGGCTGGGGCAGCCGAGGTCCCCACAGACCCCCCTGGAACAGAGCTGGCCGGGAAGCCCTCGCTGGCTGGGGGAGCTGCACTGGGCCCTTGAGCAGGATGACTGTCTCTGGGCTCCTCGCTGGCCAGCCTGGTTGTAACTGCAGGGCGGGGGGTGGAACATAGCTAGGGGAGCTCCTCCCTCCATTGCGGGCAGGGACTGTTAACCGCTAGTTGTTTCCTCTGCAGAAACGTGAGGAGGGCTGGTGGGTGGTGATCGGAGACTCCAAATCCAACAGCCTCATCTCCATCAAGAGGCTGACCCTGCAGCAGAAGGCTAAGGTGAGCTATGGTGTGGAGGGAGGGGGACTTCGTGCAGCCCTGCTGCGGGGGCATTGGCACTTCCGGGCTGCCTGCCAGCAGGGTCCCTGGCAGTGGGCGGGTGCTAGATCAAACCAACCTGTGACATTCCACTGTCATTTCAGTGTCCCTGAGAAGGGCTGTCCTGCCCCCAGCTGTAGCGCGCACAGCACACCAGGCCAGCCCTCCTGTGACTCGGAGGACACCTGGCTTAGCGCCTGACGCAGCCCTGCGAGTGAGGGCTGGGAATTGTGACTCATACACGCAGGCTCGCATGCGTATCAATAGCAGTGTAGCCATGGCCGGGGAGGCATGACCTGAGAATGAGGGTGTCTTGGTTCTGCCACTACCTCAGTGTGACCTTGGGCAAGTCGCAGCCCCCCGCCTCAGTTTCCCCATTTCACCTGGGGCTAATGCCTAGCTCACAGGGAGTGCTGATTCTGACGCAGAGGGACAGGGCATGTCACCCCGTACGCTAGACACACAAGATCTGAGCCCCTGGGAAGCCCCCTCCCCTGCCCAGGGCTAGCCCCTTTGCCCAGCTACCAGCTCACAAACGCCTTTGTTTGTTTAGGTGAAACTGGATTTTGTGGCCCCAGCCACAGGCGCCCACAACTACACCCTCTACTTCATGAGCGACGCCTACATGGGCTGTGACCAGGAGTATAAATTCAGTGTGGACGTGAAGGAGGCAGAGAGCGACAGCGACTCAGACTGAGCCGGGCCTTAGCCAAAGCTGGCCTGGGCCTCCCTGCCTGGTAGCGGAGACCTGGGCGCAGCTGAGGCATCCCCAGTGGTTCCAAGGGAACAGCGGGTACAGCTTTGGCATTTGTTTTAATGTGTCCGCGTGAGAGTGTGGGCAGCACTGGGCCCTTCCCCCAGTGTAGTGGGGCCTGCGGGACTGCCTGCTTCTGTGCTGGCTGTGTGGGGCGACCTGGCCTGTTTAAATCATAACCTCCCCTGCAGCTCTGAGCTGCCCCATTCCTCACTGCTGCTGGGGCGGTAGCACCAGCGAGGACAGCCCGTGGCGTGTGCAGGAGACTTCTCACCTCGCTGAGCCTGTTTCAGATGCCGATGGCTAAGCAGCCAAGCTTTGTACAGTGGTTTTAGAGGGGGGCAGGGTCAAGGACCTTGGCCTCAATAAAGCTCTTCAGAAACAACCTCCAATCCCTGGTGTCCTGCGGAATAACTTGCTGGGGGTGTGTGTCTCATCCTGGTTTGTTCCTGTTGCCTGGAGCCTCCATGCCCAGGCACTGGCTGTTGGGAGGAATTATGACTAGCGAACAGAGGGTGTGAGCGGCATCCCAGCCCTAGAGCTCTCCCACTTCCTCAGAGGCCCATCTCACCACACTCTGGGGGGGACTTGCTCATGCCTGAACCCTCGGTGGTTCCGGCCCTGTATCCCAGCTGGGGACCGGAGCTGTCCTCTCATTGTTCTGTGTTTCCTAGCCCTATGGCAGCAGCTCCAGCCCAGCTCCCCTGCCAGTACTGGCTGCTGGGGGCAGACGTGATGGGGTGGCTGTATCTCGAGTGAGACACCTGGGCTCCATTCCTAGCTGTGCCCCTGCTCTGCCCCACGTGTAAAACAGGGAGAACTTGCCTTTGCAAAGCCCCATAATCCAAAGGAACGCTGCCATCCCACAGCCAGCCTGAAGTGCTGGCCCTGCTAGGAGCTGAGTTTAGCCCCTCTAAGAGTCTATTAAGACACTAGCAGCATCTTGCCTTCAAGAACCTCAAGCACTCAAGGCTGACAGCGTGTCCAAGCCCTGCTCCTAGCTGGAGTGCTGGCAGAGGCTGGCACCCACTTGTCCAATCTAACACAAGTCCAACTCAGCCTGTTCATAACATTGTTTGAAAGTCAGCACAAGGTGAAGACAGATGAGGCTAAGCTGGATTGTCTGGGCTCACAGGCCGGTGCTCAGGGCTCCTGGTAGTCACAGGATGATACAACTGGGCCCATCCACATTTTGTTGTTTCTGAGCCTGGGTGCATTGCACAGCCCAGGGCTCTGCATCCCCACCAGCTCCCAGGGGCCACCCTCTCTGCCGTATGCCACTTGGCTTTGGCTGGGGGGTTGGTCAGCGGGTGAAATGCTAGTGGGAGGGTGGCCAAGCAGACTATGGCCTGGCAGAAGGTGTTAACACGGCCTGCAGCTGGCTTTGCTCTTCAGCCAGCTGTGCCTGTGCCTCACACAGGAGGGGGGGGCTCTGTCTCCCTCCCATGTTTACAGGCACCAGCCCCTGAAACTCTGAGTTGAGTTGTTCCAGCCAGCCAGGCCACCAGCTCTGCCAGCGTGTTAAAGGTACCACAGGGAGGAAGTGTCCGCTGAGATCGCTAGCAGGGCTGTGGTCACTCAGTGGAAGCAGTTTGATGATCCTAGCTGCCCTCAGGCTGAGTCCCACCTTGACACTGTTGTCCTGGCCAGGCCAGGGGAAATGAACCAGGGACCATACTGAACTGCTCAATGTAATAGAGAGCAACGGTTTTATCAGCTTGTGCCTGGTTGGGACCAAGACCACCCCTGCTCCCAACCCAACCCATCACGAACCAGAGCGCTACGTCCCACAGCCCTGCTCCCCTAGCACTGCTGCTCTGGGAGGCTCCCAAAGGCCACCTCAGCAACCTCATTTCCAGCCGGACTCCCCAAGAACGCTGCTTGGCCCAGGGGCCTGCTGGAGACGTCTGGCTCTAAGCCCAGTTGATACCACAGCTGAGCACATCACCAGGGGAATGAAGCGGAGCCAGGATTTGGGGGGACAGCACATGATTATTAGAACGCTTCAATCACAGATTGACAAGGCAGCAGGCAGCCCCCTCCTTCCCTCCACACCACCCTGGGTCAAGAACAGCCCCTGCCAGTGAAACCCTCAGCTAGGAAATGCCAGTTTCCCATGTAATGGCCAGAACAGGAACCAGCTCCAGAACCGGTCCTGACCCTGGCTCCTTTCAAGGAGTTGCACTATTGCAAAGAGCCACGCGCTGAAGCATCCTGCCAGCCTTGTATCAGCTCCCAGAAGGAACTGATCCTGGGCCCCTTTGCGAGCTGCTCATGCCCCCTTACCATCCACTGAGACCTAGGCAAAGCCTTTTCCTAGGGAAGCTGTTTGAGACACCCCCCCCCCAAAAAAATCCAACAACCCTCATCTACCTTTAAGACACTAGTTTAGCAGTAACTTGGGTAGGGTTCACCCTGATACCCCAGCGATCCAAGTCTTGGGTGGGAGGGGGGGGTAGTGGCTGCTCTTTTCCCCCTTTGCAGGTTAGGGCTGCAGGGAACATTACGTGTCCTGCTGGTGGGAGGGGTATTCTCTTAGCAAAACATTTAACGGCTGCTGCTGCACACAACAGCCCTGGGCCCGTGGCTGTGCTGGGGTCACTGCACTGCTGGGTTTCTCAGCAAACCTCTGGCCGCTGGTACTTCCAAAACGCCATTTCTCCATCATCGCTGCATGAAGCCAGCAGCCCCGGCTCCTTGGGATTCCAGGCCACACAGTTCACGTCCTGGGAGTGAGCCCTGGGCATGTGGGCGGTCAGCGCGAAGGTGGGCTGCTGGGGACTTGACAGCGGCTCTTCCTCAAATATGCGGATAGCATCATCTCCGCAGGCTGTAGCCAATGCTCCTGTCAGGCGACACCTGCAGCAAACGGAGGGCAGTGAGTAAGCAGAGATTATTCTCTCGCTGCACGTTGCTGCAGCATGACGGGGAGATGGTGAAGCCAAGCCAGTCCCTGCCCCAAGGAGCGCAGACAAAGCATGACCAGCCCGAGGGGCACAGGGATCCAGGTGGGTAGGGGGAGCACAAGGAGGCTGCTTGGGGCAAAGGAGCTGGGAAACCGGTGAAGGCCTGGAGGAAGAAGAGAAGCAGTGGAATGAGCCCTGCATTAGGCACTGCACATGGTTACCACCCTCAACCGGGGCAGGCTTAGTGGAGGCAGTTTCCTTCTGAGAGCCCCAGGAGCACAGACCGATTGGAGCGAAGAGCCTCGGTGGCCCCCGGAAAGGGGGAGAGAAGGGTGAAGGTAGTTGATGCCAGGTGGAGCCTGCACTGGGGACCAGATAACTCGTACTCCTGGGGGGATTCTGCACCAAATAATTCCAAATTCTGCATATTTTATGTCAAAATAACAGCACATAATCATGCCAGTTTCAGTTATTTTGGTGATTTACTTCAAAATACCTGTCAGCAAGTACGTCTAACAATACAGACAACAAAAGAGGTTCCCCCAGGAGTAGGGAGTTAAAGAAACCCCTACGACAACCAGTTCCCGTTTTCTGTTATGTTTTTGTTGGGTGCCTCAGTCTGGGTGTGTCACACATGCCAGCTGGGCACAGCCTGGGGGAAAACTCTGCCCCTCTGCTCTTTCCGTCAATTCTCGGTTTTTTCACCCTGGTCCCATAGGGTTACCATATTTCAAGTTCCCCATAGAGGACACTACCAGGTTGAGGGGGAGGTGGAGGGATGTGTGTGTACTGGGAGGGGGCTGTAGGGCCTGAATACTCTGTGGATGGAGGGGCCTGCAAGACAAACCCCTCCCACCACAGAGCGTGGATTGGACTGAGCATTCCAAGGCCCAGGCTCACCATGCCACATCGTAAATGGTCCTGGTGTGGAAGCCAGACAGGGTGCAGATGCATTTCCAGCTGGGGTCAGCGCCGCTGCAGACCACCCCTGCAATACACCAGACAACAATCAGAGCAGTTCTGCCTGCAGAGCGTGCAGCAGAGTCCCAGAGGCATGAGAAGCACTTGCTCCCGGGTTCCAGTTCTGGACCAGGAAGGGAAGACATTCGGTCACGCTAGCACTGCCCCAGGGCCTGATGGGTAGGGGCAGTGCAGTCTTTGTTCCAGCACATGGGGAAAGTCTGCCTGGACTCTAGGGCAATGAACACGGGACCATCAGGGCACCCGGCTCTAGGGGAGGTCTGTAGCTCTGGACCAAGCATCCCAGTGGCACTAAGTGAACGTAAATCAGTAGGTGTCACTGTGACGAAGTGGGGATTTTCCCTTCTTATCTTGTATGTGAGCCTGTGAGTCTTACTGTTGAGCCTATGTGAGTTTTACTGTTTTGCATGTGCCTCAGTTTCCCAGTGTGCTCCACCAATGCCTAGGTGGTGGGAATAAGGGTGTGTGACTTTTGCTAGACCCTCGGGGGCAGGTGAGGATGCCACTAGATGACAACCAGGTGACACTTTGCCTGGGAAGCAAGACAAGACCAGAAGGAGGAGCAAAGGGGGGTGCCTGAGGACAGGTCACTGGAAGCTGGGCAGTCTGCTTGGGGGAACTGGAGGGGGAGTCCAGGGCGTCTGGCCCGGGATTCCCCCAAGATGGACAGGGCTGAAAGTCACTGATTTCTGTGCTAACAAGTTCTGTTCTACGCTGTGTTCCTCTCAACTAATAAACCTTCCGTTTTACACTGGTTGAGACGAGTCTCTGCTGACTGTGGAGTTGGGCTGCAGGGCCCTCTGGCTTTCCCAGGAGCCCCACACAGGCGGACTCGCTGTGGGAAGCACACGGAGGGGCAGGGGAAGCTGAATGCTCCGGGGTCAGACCCAGGAAGATCAAAGCTGTGGAAGCTTCTTGCCCTGGCGACAGTCTGCTCAGAGAGAGGAGGCTCCCCCAGATTCCTGACTGTCTTCGTAGGGAGTCGTTCCAGAGCATTGGCCCGGTGACTCCGTGACAGTCACAGATTCGGCTGCTCCAGAATGAGGGGTGAGATGAGCAAAGCACAGGTAGGTTTCCTTGGAGGCTGGTCTGCTACCCCTATAGGCACAGGTGCCAGTTGGGCCTGACTCAGAGATGCAGAGGGTTTGGGTTACCTTTGCCAGGGTATATGTGCACTGGCAGAGGTTTCAGGGGAAGCTGGCACAGCACTTTCCTGAGTCATTTGTCTGACTAGCCAGGGCTATTTGTCCCTCACTCTCAACCAGCTTCACCCAGACCAATGCTACATATAAAGGGGAGTGAGTCTAATGGTTAGAGCAGGGGACAAGGAGTCCAGAGTCCTGCTTTCCATTCTTAGCTCTGCCACCAACTCCTTGTGTGACCTTGGGCAAATCTTCTCCCATTTCCGCAGCTGTATATACTAGGGACGGTACCAACGCACCGCTCTCTCTCTAGTGCTCCAGTCTCCCGGGATGGCAGTGGGGTAGGAGTGGCTCCTGGGATAGGAGACTCTGCCCCCAGCTTGCCCTACTCACCTTGCTCATTGCCTGGTTTGTACTGGTGCCAGATGCGCACGGTCTTGTCGTCGCTGCAGGAGGCCAGGCGCTCCCCACTCTGGTCGAAGGCAAGGCTCCACACCGTGGACTCATGTCCCTCCAGCGTGGCACAGCACACCCAGTCATCCTCCTCTTCACGGTACAGCTTCACCGTGTCGTCATAGCTGGCTGATGCCAGCAGCTGATGGGGGAAAGGCGGAACACAAATGAGCTCAGGATCAGGAGAGCCAGGATGGGGGCCAGCACACGGGACCTTGCACACCCACCGAAAACGTGGCCTTTAGATTCCCCCCAGGCTGGAAGGAGAGAGACAGGCTAAGGGGAACATGGCCTTGGGGAGCCAAGCCTGAAGCCCCCCTTTTTCCCAGAACAGCAGAGCTCCCTCTAGGGCAGGGTTGCCCTCCACTGGCAGGGTTGGGGGGAATCTGTATGCCTCTTGCTCAGGGAGCTAGGTAAAAGGGAGCCAGTCAGCTGATCACCTTTGTGCCTCTGGGCTCTGCCCAGAATCAGACCCAGTGGATGCCTCTCCCAGCTCTAGCTGCATCACCAACTCCCACCACCTTTGGCACCTGCCTAGGATCACAGCAACGACAGGCACTGCACCAGGACAGCAGATGTTTGGAGCGACTGAAGACCTGGGTGGGAGCGCATGGGGGGCTAGGGAGGCCATTGGGGAGAGCCCTCACCTCCTGGTTGGGATGCCAGACCACGTGCTTGACATCCTGCGTGTGGGCGTTCAGGACACTCACACACTCGTATTCGTCCTCTTCGTCCACTGTGAGAGAGAAGGGGTTGTGGGTGAATGCAGCCAGGGACTCTGCCCAGTACCCTTCTGCATCCCTGTGACTGCCCAACGGAGGGGCAAAGGGGAAGCCCTGGCTCTGCAGCACCCAACCTGAATAGGTCAGCACAGATAACAGGGCTGCTCCTTAGTCCTTCAGCCGCCCCTTCCCAGACCCAGCTGGTCTGCCCACATCTCTCCCATGATCCTCCAGGTCTCAGGTCCCAGCCTCCCACCCATGGTCCCGCCTCATGTTTCTTGACAAGCCTGGTGTGACACAGGCTCATCGGTGCCAACGGTTCACTGTTCTTGACAAGTAACTCGTGTCTCAGACCTGACAAACTCAGGTCCACGGTATATCATGGTAGCACGTGAGGTCTCTACTGAAAGCTTGTAACTTATCGATACTCATTGCACGATGTACATACGGGCAATAGTTAAGGAATAATATAACTATATTGAAAATTGTGACTTATGATCTTGGAGTAAAAGTCAGCCACCAGGGAACCATGCATCTCGGTGACAGCCTATTCCAGCAGCAGGACGCTGTCACCCCTGCCTGGTTGGCTGGTGATGTAATGCAAGAGTCAATTGTCTACCCTTACCCCCTCCCAGATCAGTCAAGGGAAAAGCATCAAAGTCAACTGCAATCAAAACCACGTGAAGGGAAAAAGAAAACCTTGTAACAGACAGCACCCCAGCTGTGAACAGAGACCAAAGACTGATTCAGTAGGAAAGACACTCATCTTGAAGAGCACGGGTGTTGTCATGAACATGTGGATCCTGGCTCCTGAGAAGCAGCCAGCTCTGCCAGAGACTGAACTTTTCGGGGGGGATGGGGGACACAACCTCCCTTATTAGCTAGGAAAGGGAACTGTTAATAATTGTAGGCCCTAGTGCGTGGTTTATAATTTTGGTTTCATTGTAACCATTTGTTTCTACCACTCGGCTTTGTGTCTGGTGGAATCTTTACTCTTACATAAACCTTCTTTTGTTTTATTAGAAGTGTTCATAAGGGCTATGTGTTGTACAGGAGTGGTGATTTAAGGTCAAACTGGGGTAACCTGCTCCTTTGGGGGCAGAAGTTACAGGATTTCTGTAAGTGCCAGTGTCGGAGCTGGATATCAGAGGAATACTTCAAAGGGACTTGGAGACTGGGGTGCACCTCTTGTTAACCTGCAAGACAGATTGTTAGCCTAGCCCAGAGGAGAGAGAGCGGCTGAAAGGCTGGCGGTGTCCAGGAGCTAACATCCAGGCACCATGGGCAAGCCGGAGATACGGTGTAACAAGGTGACTCTCAGTCCTGAGAACCGTCAAACCTGGTTCCCCACATATCGCCCATGGTGTTCCTGGTCCCCCCACCCCTCAGACCTGTCTCTCACCTTCCCAGACCCAGACGCTCTTGTCTCGGCTGCAGGTGGCCAGGAGGCTGCCGGATGGGGCCCAGGATACGGACTTCACCTCGTTTTCATGTCCCTCCAGGGTGGTCACACACTGTCAGAGGGAGAGAAGGAGCTTGTGCTTAAGCCAGCCCCAGGGAGGGAGGAGCCTAGCTCTGCCATATGCTCCCAGTGTCCCCATTGGTCCAGGGAAGCCCAGAGGGAGCAGGAGAAGAGACAGTGACTCGCTGAAAGCAGAACAAGGAGGGCTCAGACAACCCACCATAAGCGATTCAGAGCCCCGGCAGCTGGGGACAGAGAGAAACCTTCCTCCCAGGAAGACCTGCAGCCAAGAATTCAAACAGGCTCTATGGGAACACTCAACGCAGCTCCACATGCCAGGCCACATCCCCCGTGCTGTAACCCCATTGCACTCATCCCATATGCACCCGACTGTAACTCCATGTCTTGTAGGGAAACTGCCCCCAGAGGTACTGGGCCAGCCATCCGCCGAGAGTGGGGAATCTAGCACTAAATTGGAAATTCTGCGTCTTTATGAATATATGTTCCCATTTCAAGCCACGCCCTAGAGATCCCCTTGCAGGCTCTTGATCACAAGAACAAGGGACACTCAATGAAACTGAAAGAGGACAAGTTCAAAAGTGATTGAAGGAGAAGTTGTTTCACACAAGCAGTGATTAGCCCATGGAACTCCCTGCTATGGGATACCACTGAGGGCATGAGCATTGCTTAGTTCTACGAGAGACTGGACATTTATATGAAGAACAAGATTATCCAGCATTAGAATAGTTAATACTCATGCATTTTGGAAGGGGTTCACGGCTTAGCCAGTTATTACGAGAGGTTAGGACAGGGGTGGGTAAACTACAGCCCGGGTGCCGCATCCGGCCCTCGAGCTCTCGCCGGGCAGTGGGGTCGGGGGCTTGCCCCGCTCAGCTCCCAAAAGCAGCGGCATGTCCCCCCTCTGGCTCCTACACGTAGGAGCAGCCAAGGGGGCTGCAGGGGCAGCGCCTGAGTAGGAGACGGAGGGGGGACATGCCGCTGCTACTGGGAGCTGCTTGAGGTAAGCACCGCCCGGAGCCTGCACCCCTGACCCCCTTCCGCGCCCTAACCCCCTTCCCCAGCCCTGATCCCCCTCCCGCCCTCCGAACCCCTTCGTCCCAGCCCAGAGCACCCTCCTGCACCCCCAAACCCTCATCCAAAGCCCCACCCCAGAGCCCGCATCCTGAGCCGGACACCCTGAGGACAATCCAGAGTACTGTATTTCAGACAGCACCCTGCCTAGGAAAGGGGCTTGATGCTAGAGCTGGACAAATAACTGATTTTTCAGTTTGCTGCAGTTCTAACAAATGGGGGGGGGGGGGGGGGAAGAGAATGGTTTGGGCCAAACTAAATCTGAAAATTTTGCAAGATTCCAGCGAATTGAAAAAGTGACCAGAAACTGTTTAAACATTTTGTTCAACCCAAAACAAACTGTTTTGATTTGCAGCACTTTTTCACATACCACCACCTAGCTCTTGAACAGCATTATATATCAGTACTGGTCAAAGCATTTCCCAATCTTTAATGTATTTCTCATCATTCCTCAACAGCCCCGCAAAAGAAATGAAGATCTACAAAGTGGGCTGGGGTGTGTGTATGGTTGTTAGTGGTTCTGTACCACTTTGTACAAAATACTCAGTCACTGGGCCAGTGAGAAAGACCCTGGTGGTCAGGGTACCCACCTGGGTGGCAGGATACCCACCCTGCTCCAATGACTAGTTATCCACAACGGAAGAACTTTAACAGGTGAGACAGCGAGAGATCCACAGCCCAGTGACTAGGGCACTCACACCAAACAGAGGGGGGAATTGAATCTAGGGGAGACCACCCCTGCAATGGTGGAATTGGAGGGGAGGGCCCTAGCCATTGCCTAAAGCTTACAAGGGATGCAGCACCTCCTCCAGTTTGGTGAATGGCGCCTACATCTCAGAAAGTTTTGGGGATGGAACTATTTGGTGAATTTGTGTCAAATTCACGAATCATTTTGGGTCAAGTGACACTAAATTGTCAGTGAATAAATATTGTGCTCAGCTCTAACTGACATCTCACTGATGGACGATCACTAAGATGCAGACAGACAGCAATCTGGGGCCACCCACTGCATCTGCAGGGGGCACAGTAGCAGGGTGTGCGGGGGGAGAATGTGTGTTCTCCTGCTCTCTGAGCTCCGTTGATACTTTGGAGGGCACTCAAATCAGCACCTGACACCAGCACTGGCTCCACAAGCATCCTCTACACTCAGCCCTGTGGAGACAGCCGTACCTCAAACTCATCCTGGCTCTTCTTCCAAATACAGGTGGTGGCATCAAAGCTGGCTGAAGCCAGGTAGCTCCCACACGGGGACCAGGCTACCTTCCGGATGGTCCTCTGGTGCCCCTCGCCCAACACCGACTTGCACACCCAGCCATCCCCTAGAGCAGAGGACAAGAGAGAGATGAGCGAAGAGCGGGGGGCTTGGCAGCCAGAGCTCCCTTCTCAGCCCCGCTCCCAAATAGCTTTGCCTATGGCCAAGGCACTACGTGACGCAGCAGCCCATGGGCTCCCTGGACCCAGGAGACTCCAGGAGCAGCTGGGATTTCACCTTCCTGGGACAGAGCCGGGTCCCCACCCACCAGCTGACAGCGCAGGCCCGACTTGGCAGCGGCTCCCTACCCTCCTTGCCCCAGATGCGGATGCTGCGGTCTCCCCCGCAGGAGGCCAACAGGGTCCCAGAGGGGTCCCAGGCCAGGAACCAGCAGCGAGAGTCAGGGTGGGCTGGGATCCTGGCGAGCAGCGACAGCGAGTCCTTCATCCCGAGGGCGGGTCTGGAACAGCCTCCCTGTGGGGTGGAGCAGAGGTTAGCCCGGAGCGCCCAGCGGGCAGCACTCACCCCGCTAGGCTCCCCGCTCCACACCCAGCCCCACCTCACCCCGGGCCCCCCCGCACCGACGCCCCTCCCCCTCTGCACAGGAACCCCCGGCAGCCCCCGCTCCGCACCCAGCCCCACCTCACCCCAGACCCCCCCCCGCGCCACACCCACGCCCCTCCCCCTCTGCACAGGGACTCCCCAGCGGCCGCCCGCGCCCCAGCTCGAGCGAACCCGCCTGCGGCGCGCGGCGCTGCCCTACGGGAGCCTCCCGGCCAATAGGCCCCGCACACTCCACTCCCAGGGTGCCTCGCGGGCGCGTGACGTCCTACGGCGTGTGACGTACGGCGCTGCCGGCCGGGGAGGCGGAAGCGGAAGGGCGTTCGGCGGCGGCAGCGACTCGGGCTCGGTTTCTTCCTCTCGGGTCCAGGGGCCGGTCGCTACTCGAGGGACTCCGGAAGTGCGGACCGCAGTGGGAACTGTGACGAGAGACCCTCCCGGGCCTGGGCTTCCTTGACTTGAGGGGGAGGCGAGACCGACCCCTGGGGGCTCTTCCCCCTCCGCACAGGGCCCCCCCCCCCCCCGCCCCCGCCGCCCCCCTCCCCCCCTGCCCAGCTCGGACCCCGCTGCACCCCCCGCCCAACAGGGACTCCCGGGGGCCAGCTTAGATCCTGCTGCTCCTCTCCTCCCCCCAATAGGGAGCCTGCCAGCTGCTGAGAGCTTCCCCCACCTGCAGCACCCACCAGGTACTCACTTGGGCCCCTGGGTGCCCACTCTGCTTCCAGAGGGTGCTTGCCGTGTTCCCTTCTTCCTAAGTGCCTAGAGGGGGCCTGGGGTGCTGTGCCCCTCTGGCATCCCTCTTGGGTGCTGGGATTTCCTCACCAAGCTTGTCCTCCGTGTGACACGCATAGGGGTTGTCCTGGTTGGCATTTGCGCCCTGCTTGGGACCTAGAGCAGCACGGTCCACGGCAGGTTGCACTGAGCTAGTTTGTGCCCCTCGGTACTGGATCCATCGCAGGGAGAGGATTCTGGCATGTACACCCCAGGTGGCTCTGGGTTGCCTGGAGGGCGCAGGCGGAGAGGCCAGAGTGGAGGTGCCCTGCCAAAGCAGCCAGAGAGGAGCCTGGCTTCTGCGCTGCCCGGCGCCCTGTCTATCACAGCCCTGTGCACTGCGCTGGCAGAGCCTGCCTGGCTACGGATTCACGGGGGGACCTGTTCCCGTCAGGAGCTGGGTGTAGCTGATGTACTTGGCTATGTTGATCCAGAATTGCTTAGAGGTGAGAATGGGTTATTTTCTGTTCCTCCTGGGATTGGATGTGGGGGAAGTATGTGGTTGGGAATGGTCCAGATCCAGTAAGCAGGAGCAAGCATTGGTGCCATATACTGTACATTTAAAGGGCTTGTCAATCCCCATACTGTCTCTATTACATATTTGTACAGTGACGGCTGACATGGCTTTCCCAAATCATCATCTTTATTATGACTGACTTCATTTCCTGTCTGCTCTGCTCAAAGAACTGAACAGCTTGAGCCTTGCTTTCAGACTTTGCTCTTGAGGCAGAATTCTGCACGTTGAGCTATATGGCGGGAGTCCCAGCTCTGATATTCTGTTCTCTGCAGAATTGCCTGTGGCATCAATGGCAGTTCCATGCACGTAGAGGGAGAGGTTGTTTTAAACTCTGTGCTGGGCAGAATTTTGCTCTATGTTGGCCTATAGCCAGTTGTTGAGTGAGCAGCAAGATGTTTGCATGCACTGTAACTGGGAACTACATGTTATTATTTTGATAAGACATGTGCTACTTCACCCCATGTTTTTAGTGACTCTCATTCAATGTGTTCCATTAGAAATTAGACTGAGCTCTTCGGGGCAGAGCCAGGATTTCATTCATGGTCCCTTTGGAAGTCAATAGGAATTTTGCCATTGACTTAATGCGGTCAGGATTCTGTATTTTAGTCTATATAGATATTTAGAAAAGAGGTGACTAAGGAGGGATATGATAGAAGTCTATAAAATCATGACTGGTGTAGAGACAGTGAATAGAGAAGTGTTATTTACCCCCTTCCCATACCACAAGAACTATGGGTCACCCAATAAAATTAATAGGCAGCAGTTTTAAAACAAACAAAAGGAAATATTTCTTCACACACTTCACAGTCAACCTGTGGAACTTGTTGCTATGGGAGGTTGTAAAGGTTAAAAATATAACTAAATTAAAAAAAAAGAATTAAATAAGTTAATGGCAAATAGGTCCATTAGTGGCGAATAGGTCCATCAATGGCTAGCCAACATGGTTAGGGACACAACCCATGCTCCAGGTGTCCCTAAATCTCAAAGTGCCGGAAGCTGGAACTGGATGACAGGGGATGGGTCATTCAAAATTGCCCTGTTCTGTTCACTTCCTCAGAAGCATCTGGTACTGGCCACTGTCAGAGACAGGATACTGGGCCGTTGGTCTCGACTCAGTATGGCCGTTCTCATGTTCTTCTGCCACAATGATCATCCTAGTGTCTGAGCACCTTCCAGTAGTGCATTAAGCAACATGACTGACATCTGTCACATACTGTTCCCAGGGGGAGAAGCATGTGCAGTCGAATTTCTTGCTTTGGTAGGACTTTTAAATTTACACATTGCTCTGTATTCATGCTAGAGAAAGGAAGTAAAAGAAATGCATCAAGGTGCATTGGAAATTGGAAATGCTTCGAGAGGAAGGTGGTGAGGTTTGCAGTGGTCTTTAGTTCCTGGGGGAGTTCATTCCACAGGATTTCACCCCAGGTCTTTGCGGTTTTCTTTACAGTGTTCTGAGAGCTGTGTAAAGAACATCATTGGAAATTTGCACTAGGTTAAAGACAACACAGTATATGACTTACATTTTATAAAAAACAGTTGCTTGTTCAGTTTCTTTATTAGCAAAAGTAGAGGTGGTGAAAAAATGGGGGAGAAAAATTGGCAAAAACTTCAAACTAAAAATAAAAAAATAGTAACTTTCATTCCATGTTTTTAAAAGGAACAATTTTTTCACATTGAATTTTTTTTCGTGAACATTTGTATATTTTATTTACAACAAAATTGTTTTTCTGTCTCTCCCCTCATTTCGCCCCTTTCCA